TGGCTGAAACTTTTCCCACAAACAGGACATTCAAAGGGTTTCTCTCCTGTGTGAATCCTCTGGTGGTTTACTAGCTGATAATTCTGACTGAAACATTTCCCACAATCAGGACATTCAAAGGGTTTCTCTCCTGTGTGAGTCCTCTGGTGGTTCACCAAGTTTGAATTATGGCTGAAACTTTTCCCACAAACAGGACATTCAAAGGGTTTCTCTCCTGTGTGAATCCTCTGGTGGTTTACTAGCTGATAATTCTGACTGAAACATTTCCCACAATCAGGACATTCAAAGGGTTTCTCTCCTGTGTGAGTCCTCTGGTGGTTCACCAAGTTTGAATTATGGCTGAAACTTTTCCCACAAACAGGACATTCAAAGGGTTTCTCTCCTGTGTGAATCCTCTGGTGGTTTACTAGCTGATAATTCTGACTGAAACATTTCCCACAATCAGGACATTCAAAGGGTTTCTCTCCTGTGTGAGTCCTCTGGTGGTTCACCAGCCGATAATTCTGACTGAAACATTTCCCACAATCAGGACATTCAAAGGGTTTCTCTCCTGTGTGAGTCCTCTGGTGGTTCACCAAGTTTGAATTATGGCTGAAACTTTTCCCACAAACAGGACATTCAAAGGGTTTCTCTCCTGTGTGAATCCTCTGGTGGTTCACCAGGCAATAATTCTGACTGAAACGTTTCCCACAATCAGGACATTGATAGGGTTTCTCTCCTGTGTGAGTCCTCTGGTGAATCACGAGATTTGAATTATGACTGAAACTTTTCCCACAAACAGGACATTCAAAGGGTTTCTCCCCAGAGTGTGTCCTCTGGTGGTTCACCATGCTGGAATTCTGACTGAAATGTTTCCCACAATCAGGACATTCAAAGGGTTTCTCTCCTGTGTGAATCCTCTGGTGATTCACCAGCCGATAATTCTGACTGAAACGTTTCCCACAATCAGGACATTCAAAGGGTTTCTCTCTTGTGTGAGTCCTCTGGTGGTTCATCAGCTCATAGTTCTGACTGAAACGTTTCCCACAATCAGGACATTCATAGGGTTTCTCTCCTGTATGAGTCCTCTGGTGTTCCACCAGCCTAGAATTCTGACTGAAACATTTCCCACAATCAGGACATTCAAAGGGTTTCTCTCCTGTGTGAGTTGTTTTGTGTGTTGCCAGGCTTGAATTCCGAGTGAAACATTTCCCACAATCAGAACATTCAAAGGGTTTCTCTCCTGTGTGAATGCTCTGATGATTCACCAAGCTGGAATTATGACTGAAACCTATCCCACAATCAGGACATTCAAATGGTTTCTCTCCTGTGTGAGTCCTCTGGTGGTTCATCAGCTCATAATTCTGACTGAAATGTTTCCCACAATCAGCGCATTCAAAGTGTTTCTCCTCTGTGTGAGTCCTCTGGTGTCTCACAAGGCTGGAACTCAGACTAAAATCTTTCCCACAATCAGGACATTTGAAGGGTTTTGCTCCTGTGTGAGTCCTCTGGTGTTCCACCAGGTTGGAATTCTGACCAAAACCTTTCCCACAATCAGGACATTCAAAGAGTTTCTCTCCTGTGTGAGTCCTCTGGTGTATCACCAGCTGGGAATTTGTAATGAAACTTTTACCACAATCAGGACAGTGATATGATTTCTTTCCTGTGTGCATTCTGTAATATACCACCAGGTTGGAATTCTGAGTGAATGTTTTCAAGCAATCAGCACATTCAATTGTTTTCCCTTCGTGTGAATCCTTTGAGGTATCATCAAGTTGCCATGCTTGCAAAAGCGTTTACTGCATTGGGAGTAATTATAGGGCTTCTCTCCTGTGTGGGTCCTTTCATGAACCACAAGGCAGCTGATCTAACTAAATCTTTTCTCACATACGAATAATTTGTATGGCTTTCCTCCAGAGTGGATCCTCTTATGCATAATATGTGATTTGCTATGTATGCTTTTCCCACAACAGGCACATCTATGGAGCTTTTCCACCCTTGAGGTTCTTGACGGGTTCAAAAATACGTGTGATCTTTTGTTGCATGGAGCTTTTATTCAGGCTACTATTTTCTCCCTCATCGGGCAAGGCCTGCACTACTGTCTACCTTTTGTGGCTATCCAATTGTCTTTTTCCTCCTCAGTCACGTCTAGATATTTCCTTCTTGTTCTAAATGGAAATAATAATCTCTTTTGATCTTTTCATGTAATCTGTTGTTGAGTTCTGCATACTCTACTTTTTGCACTTCGAAATCTCTTCTGGATTTTCTCCCCTTTTTCTCTCACCAGCTGGGGAAAGAGAAGAATTGTGTGCTTTTCTAAAGGCTCAATTTACTTTCATTTTCAAAGTTGCTGGTTATTCCTAGTTGTCCAGAGTGCTCTTATTAGTATCCTCTTCACCTGTAAGATTTAAATAAAAGTATAAGTTTACAATCATTATAAAATGGTTGCAGAAGACTTGAAAAAGTATACATTACAAATAAAAAGCAAACAGGCCACAATGCTGAAATATCTTCTAATGTTAATTATGATTCAGTGACACATGGAAGATTACTGAAATCCAAGTTCAAATATACATTGAATCATAAAATACCCTTGTTGTTTTGGGTCCATCACAAATTCTTCATACTGCAATTATTGGATAGCATCTCTGTAATTCAGATAAATGTTTTANCTTTCTTTCTTTCTTTCTTTCTTTCTTTCTTTCTTTCTTTCTTTCTTTCTTTCTTTCTTTCTTTCTTTCTAAGTATGCTTCTCCATTTTTCCTTTTGGAGAATATAATATCACGTCTCTTAATATTCCCCAAAATATTTCATTCTTCCGAGGGGGGGTGATGTTTCCAGCAATATGCCTAGAAAATGGGGTCAAAAAAAGAGAGCTTGATTTCTGTATATTGCAGAAGATATTTTTTAAAACAAATATTTGTAAAAGAAGAAAAAGGAAAAATAGAATATTCTGCCAAAGCACAAGGCTGATTGGACACCATGTTAATTTTTTTAGAGTGCTATCCTGCACTGCCATTTTAATGCAGATTTAATAACGTAAGATTTTTGATAGTGGCCATTTCATCTATTGGCTCTGTTTCTATGCACGAAGACCTCAAGTTTCATAATGTTTGTTGGATCCAGTTCAGAACTGGGAGAATGATCAGGGAAATTAGACAGATCCTCTGTAATTTTATGTGTTTCAAAAGCTACAAACCCACTGGCACATCCAATGGCTGCTGATGGGGTTGTAAAGTTACAAGGGAAACCTACCTTAGTTGCCCAGTTTGAAACCTCCTAATTTTGATCTCCCAAACTGGCAATGGTGGATAAGACCATCCCTGAATCTGAGAAGAATGCCAATCAAAATAGATCCAGTTTAGCCATTCTAATTTTTTAACTCTGCATAAAGAAATGTCATTCTTTCACAGTGTTTAGGACTGAGGTAAATAGCAATGCAACAAATTACGAGGGAGAAGCCTAATTACATCACACATCAGAGGCACAGAGTGGCAGGATGGAGGTACCATTGAAACTGAAAATTTAAATTTATAATGAGGGAAATGAAGCTGAAGAAGACAGATTGGTGATAGAGGTGCTGAATGCCATAGAGACAGATTACAGGTAGATTAACAATTGTAGCGTATTAGAAACCCACTGAATGTGTGGAGACCTCACTACTAAAGAAGAATTGTGAAAAGGTTTTTGTGTTACAATTTTTTAAAGTTTATTATTAACCTTGTTCACTGCACATCTGGCATTTAGAGGCCATTCTGAGTGCCTAGTTTTGCCCTAACATTCATCGCAACACTGACACTATCCAATATTTTCCTTGCCAAAAGCTATTGATAGTTCTTACATTACGCAATGCACTATTAAAAATGAAAGATTATCCAGCGTTCAATAGATATGTCAGCATGCTGCTATCACCCAGTAGCAATCAAAAAGAAAAAAGCAAGTACTTTAGAGAAAATGAGATCACAGCAGGAGTTGCTAATAAACCTGGAGATTCCTCTCATCACAGCCACAACCGCTTTTCTCCTCATCTCAATATTACTACAGTTCTTCTCCATCAGGCTCACCTGCAAGGCAGAATAAACTTTACATTTGAAATTTTACACTGCATTTTTCATTGGGCCTTGGGCCTATTCCCTACACNAACCAAAGCGAAATTTCGACTGAAAAGTTTGCCACAATCAGAACATTCAAAGGGTTTCTCCCCTGTGTGAGTCCTCTGATGATTCACCAGCTCAGAATTCTGACTGAAACTTTTCCCACAATCAGGACATTCAAACGGTTTCTCTCCTGTGTGAGTCCTCTGGTGTATCACCAGCTCGGAATTTGTAATGAAATGTTTCCTACAATCAGGACAGTTATATGATTTCTTTCCTGTGTGCATCCTCCAGTGTACTACGAGGTTGGAATTCTGAGTGAAAGTTTTCCAACAATCAGAACATTTAAAGATTTTTTCCCCTCGTGTGAATCCTCGATGAATCAAGTTGCCATGCTCACAAAAGCGTTTACTGCATTGGGAACAGTTATAGGGCTTCTCTCCTGTCTGGGTCCTTTCATGAATCACAAGGGAGCTAATCTTAGTAAATCTTTTCCCACATACGGATAATTTGTATGGTTTCGTCCAGAGTTGATCCTGTTATGCATAATATGTGATTTACTATGTGTGTTTTTCCCACAACAGGCACATGTATGGAGCTTTTCCACCCTTGAGGTTCTTGAAGAGGTCAAAAATATGTGTGATCTTTTGTTGCATGGAGCTTTGATTCAAGCTACTGTTTGCCTCCTCACATGGCAAGGCCTGCATTACTGTCTACCTTTTGTGGCTATCCAATTGTCTTTTTCCTCCTCACTGACTCCTGGATATTTCCTTCTTTTTCTGAATGGAAAAAATAAATCTCCTTTGGCCTTTTCATGTAATCTGTTGTTGAGTTCTGCATACTCTATTTTTTCCAGTTTGAAATTTGTTCTGGATTTTCTCCCCTTTGTCTCTCACCAGCTGGGGAAAGAGAAGAATTGTGTGCTTTCCTGAAAGCTCAATTTGCTTTCATTTTCAAAGATGCTGGTTATTCTCAGTTGTGCAGAGTACTCTTGTTGGTATCCTCTTCATCTGTAAGATTAAAATAAAAGTGTAAGTTTAAAATTGTTTCTTTTTAAAATGGTTGCAGAAGACTTGAAAAAGTATACATTACAAATAAAAAGCAAACAGGCCAAAAGGCTGAAATAGCTTCTAATGTTAGTTATGATTCATTTGACACATTGGAGATTACAGAAATATATGTTCAAAAATACATTGAATCATAAAATACACTTGTTGATTTCGGTCCATCACAAATTCTTCATACTGCAATTATTGGATAGAATCTCTGTAATCCAGATAAATGTTTTACCAAATATGCTATTTCTCTTTAACACTTTAAATATTATAACTGAAACTCAATTTAAACAATGGCTGATGGACATCTCTAGGTTTATATGGCAAGAGGAAAAACCCCAAATTAAACATAAGTTATTGCAAGGTGATAAGGATAGTGGTTTGAGTTGACCAGATTTGAAATTGTACTTTGATGCTTGTTGTATTGTGGCAAAAAGAGTGAGGGACTCTCCAAAATAAGAGCTTCCTTGAGCTTGAAAGGCATGAATAAAGCATTTGATGGTAAAGCTCCTTAGGGTATGATAAGGTTAAAGCAACTGTTGATCATCATTCCTTCCTCTTTGGGTGTCTCTCCAGGAACCTTTTTAAGAAAAGAAAGGGTGGGGAGGCCAGACTGATGGAATTATGGTCAAATAATATTATTCAATTATTGTGACCCTATCCACAAATCTACAAGTTGGAATCAGAAGGATGTTTGCCATTGATTTATATATTTACAATTGAAAGAAAGATTTGAATTAGACAAAAAGAGCAAGGGATGCAATTTCGTGAAAAATGAAATGGAAATGAATGGTTGAACATATTATTACTATGGTTTAAAAACTGCTATTTTTGAGATATATAGCCATAACAACATTTTTTTTCTCTCGGAGTCAAGGACGTTCAGCCTGCACATGGATAGGCGTGACTTGGGGATGTCTCCACTTGGGTAGGTGGAGTGATTGGATCGTGTGAGGGACATGTGGGTGCAGGGGATGGAACTTTTGACTTTTTTTGAATGTGGAAAACCAGAAGCTTACAGATTCGGGTTTTCCCAGATGAGCCAATATGACATCTTCAATAAATTGGAACTTTGAGAAATTGCCTGCCTTGGAGTCTTCATTGGTTGAAGGTTTTACTTGGAACCCTGACATTGAACTTGCAGAATGAGTAAGTAAAGCATTGTACAATTCAGTGGGCAAAGAACTTTGGATGTAATATAATACTTGAACAATGGAAGGATATAACAGAATTACAGATGGAAGGGACCTTGGAGGTCTTCTAGTCCAACCCTCTGCTCAAGCCCAAAAGTCTATACCAATTATTTATATATGTGGAAAATCCATGGGTTTTCAGCCTGAAAGCTGCCCCAAACCCAAAATAGTTACAGTCACACTTCCTGTGCTAATTTTAGTAATGTGGGGCTTTAATTGATAAAATGATGCCTAAAGATTCTGCATGATTTGAAGCACCAGTTTTACCATGGAAGTCCTCAGTTCCAAGTAAGGGCAGAAAGTACTGTCCACAACCATTCTGGTGACATTCCTCACT